GATTTTGGACCCGGGAGTACTAAAAACTGCTCGCATCCCAGGGTGCTCAGTTTCGCTCTATCCGATCGAGTAAGGCTTCCAGAAAGGCCCTCAGGTGCGCGGCCTGCGGTGCCATAATATACCTCCGAGCGCGCATCCCGTGTCCTCTCCCGGGCTTTTACGACTCCCTGATCTGATTTTAAAATGGCAATAAATAAGATAAATTGTGCACTCATAACAACAGCAAAAATGAAGAAAGTCAAGTTCCATAACGTTTTCTTGTGACTGTCATCAGTGGAACGCCGTCACATAAAAATGTAATAACTAAAACACACACTTATATACATGTAGCTAATATGGTTTCAGGTAGAAATACAGCAGCTAACAAGTACAAAAAGCGAAGTTTGCACCTTTGCAATGTGTGAATATAGTGTATGTGAGAAAGGTAGTGGCAGATGAATGTGATACTGTGTGAATGAATGTAATGGTGCGTGTGTATTACTTGAAGAGTGTGAGTGATACAACGTTTTCTTTCTGTTTACATAACACAGGGTCACGAGTACGAATATACACAGCTTCCAACACCTGCAATTGCTTGAAGAAACGTGCGCAACGAATAACACTAAACCAGGAATCGTCAAACACCTTACGACATTCTGGACTGGACACCAAATGCTTGTACACTGCAGACTTCCTCTTGTCAACATCAAACTCCTCCTCATCACTACTCTCATCCTCCACCTCCATTCCAATGCCGCCGTCCATCCCATCGCACTCGTATTCGTCGTCATCAGTCTCCATCTCCTCGCGACACCGCTTCCCTCTCATTGATTCGTTCTGTGCCGTGCCTGTGCTTCCTCCTGCGTCTCCTTGCCTTGTGTTCTCCACTTGTCTCAGTCGTGCCTCTGCTAGTCTCTTGCTTCTCCTCGGTTCTGCTCTGTTTTCAAGTTGTTCCCCTTCCGCTCTTACCGTTGTAGCAACATGGTTTGTCGAGGAGCGACCGTCCGGCGGCCTCCCTTGCCGTGGTCCGGTTTCCGAGGGGGGAACCAGATTAGTCTGCTCGTTCTCCATGGAAGTAGTCGGTGCTTCTGTTTCCGAATTGTGAGCCGTGCTAGGTGTAGAAATAGGCAGCGGATGTTTTCGTGGTCTCCCACGCTTCGGCCTGCTTAACCTGGCAGCCTGGGACAACAATGATAATGGGACGTGCTGCTTGATGCGTTCGGACAAGTGTTGAAGCGTCCTGCCAACATACCGACTACCACATTGTCGGCATTCAAATTGATAAATGAGATGGCTCAAATGGTGGGTTGGCAGGACGTCCTTCAACACTGTGAACGAACGCACCGTTGTAAAGACAGTAACTACATTCACTGCATAGTATGTCTTTTGCACGATCGATTTCACTGCACGACTGACTTTTGTTGATTCAGAGCCTTTCCAAGGCAGGCATAAGAACACCCGACACGGTGTTGGCCCGATTTTGTGTTCCTTCCGCGGCTCTTTGCTCGTGAGCAGTTTTGCTAAGAGTGATGATGGATATCCATTTTTCAGGAAAACTGAGCGCAGGAAATCGAGTTCAGGTTGTAATTTACTGTCAGAGCAAATGCGTCTTGCCCTATCCACCAAGTTCCGGACTAAATTGATCTTGTACTGGGCCGAGCAATATGAGTCATACATTATATATTGTCCTGTAAACGTAGGCTTACGATAAACCGATGTGACAACACCATCACACGTCCTTTCGACTAAGACATCCAAAAACGACAATTTTCTGGATTCTTCGTGTTCACATGTGAAGCGCAGCGCAGGATGGACATCATTCAATTCAGTTAGAAAGGCTTCACTGTCACGTCTTGATTCGAAATAGGTAAATGAGTCGTCCACAAATCGAACGTACAACTGAGGCCACTTTACTTTATCCATTCTCGACTCGCAATATCCAACGAAGACGTTGGCTAGTGCCGGACCCAGCGGCGACCCCATTGCCACCCCGTCCGTTTGCTTGTACATCACGTCACCGAACGAAAACTCGACACCACTCGTAACCATCAACATCAAACGTCGAAACGCTGACTCAGGTAACCAAGGGACATCGACGTCATCATCATTATGGTAGAGTGTCTGCGCACAGATATCGATCGTCTCGTCTAGTGGAACATTTGTAAACAGGCTTACAACGTCGAAAGAACACATATGGGCTGTGGGTGGAATCGGATTTTCACGAAGGATTTCCACAAACTGGAAAGTGTCCTTGACATTATGCTTACAATAGTAGTCTACTACCGGCTGTATCATGCCGCACAGCCACTTTGATATGGCGTACTGGGGCGAGCCTATCATGGAGAGTATGGGTCGGAGCGGGCAGGATGGTTTGTGTATCTTCGGCAAGCCGTACATCCTAGGGCGCACCGAACCGATTGGCTTCATTCGAAAAAACTCCGATTCTGATATGTCTTTCGCATGTCGGAGGTTCTTAAGATATGTCACTAGTTCTTTCTCCCTAACCAATGTTCTATCATGTGTTGAGACCGAACCGAGTTTCACAAATTTCGATCCGTCCTCTAGTATTGTAGCCATTTTAGTATTGTAGTCAACTCGTGTCATAATAACGGTTGCACGACCTTTATCCGGTCGGGTGATGATGATACTATTGTTCTTTTTTAGCTCTGCACGAGCTTTCATGTGTTCGCGGGAGAGAGAAAATGTCCGTCGTTCTGCGGCCTGCTCGGCATGTTCTTCCGCCGCAGCACGGAGTGTGGCTGCGCACACCATTTTCTTTGATTCAGAAACTGGTGCAAAATCACGCAGTTTGCGATAAAATAATTCAAAATCGCAAAGTACTTGCTCCTTCATGTTCGATGTTGGTGGTATGCCGAAATCTATGCCTCTAGATAGTAGCTCTTGTTGGACAGTGGTAAGTGGAATGTTCGCCAGGTTAATTATCGTGTTGGTATCAATTGTTATGGCACCAAAGCGCTTCTTTCGAAGCCACTTGATGACGCATTTGCTCTGACAGTAAATTACAACCTGAACTCGATTTCCTGCGCTCAGTTTTCCTGAAAAATGGATATCCATCATCACTCTTAGCAAAACTGCTCACGAGCAAAGAGCCGCGGAAGGAACACAAAATCGGGCCAACACCGTGTCGGGTGTTCTTATGCCTGCCTTGGAAAGGCTCTGAATCAACAAAAGTCAGTCGTGCAGTGAAATCGACCGTGCAAAAGACATACTATGCAGTGAATGTAGTTACTGTCTTTACAACGGTGCGTTCGTTCACAGTGTTGAAGGACGTCCTGCCAACCCACCATTTGAGCCATCTCATTTATCAATTTGAATGCCGACAATGTGGTAGTCGGTATGTTGGCAGGACGCTTCAACACTTGTCCGAACGCATCAAGCAGCACGTCCCATTATCATTGTTGTCCCAGGCTGCCAGGTTAAGCAGGCCGAAGCGTGGGAGACCACGAAAACATCCGCTGCCTATTTCTACACCTAGCACGGCTCACAATTCGGAAACAGAAGCACCGACTACTTCCATGGAGAACGAGCAGACTAATCTGGTTCCCCCCTCGGAAACCGGACCACGGCAAGGGAGGCCGCCGGACGGTCGCTCCTCGACAAACCATGTTGCTACAACGGTAAGAGCGGAAGGGGAACAACTTGAAAACAGAGCAGAACCGAGGAGAAGCAAGAGACTAGCAGAGGCACGACTGAGACAAGTGGAGAACACAAGGCAAGGAGACGCAGGAGGAAGCACAGGCACGGCACAGAACGAATCAATGAGAGGGAAGCGGTGTCGCGAGGAGATGGAGACTGATGACGACGAATACGAGTGCGATGGGATGGACGGCGGCATTGGAATGGAGGTGGAGGATGAGAGTAGTGATGAGGAGGAGTTTGATGTTGACAAGAGGAAGTCTGCAGTGTACAAGCATTTGGTGTCCAGTCCAGAATGTCGTAAGGTGTTTGACGATTCCTGGTTTAGTGTTATTCGTTGCGCACGTTTCTTCAAGCAATTGCAGGTGTTGGAAGCTGTGTATATTCGTACTCGTGACCCTGTGTTATGTAAACAGAAAGAAAACGTTGTATCACTCACACTCTTCAAGTAATACACACGCACCATTACATTCATTCACACAGTATCACATTCATCTGCCACTACCTTTCTCACATACACTATATTCACACATTGCAAAGGTGCAAACTTCGCTTTTTGTACTTGTTAGCTGCTGTATTTCTACCTGAAACCATATTAGCTACATGTATATAAGTGTGTGTTTTAGTTATTACATTTTTATGTGACGGCGTTCCACTGATGACAGTCACAAGAAAACGTTATGGAACTTGACTTTCTTCATTTTTGCTGTTGTTATGAGTGCACAATTTATCTTATTTATTGCCATTTTACGACTATTGTCTCCTCGTCGACTGTTTGATCTGATTTTGATTTTTTTTATTTTTTTTTTATTTCACGGATCCTCCAGAGGCAAATAGATGCCTATCGAAGGGAGTCTCCTAATCTACATGTACATGAGTCTGTACAATGTAAACCCGGAGAGGCGAGGAGCGAATGACCATGATGACTATGTCAGAACAACAAAAAAAAAGTTACTCCAGTGTTCCTTTCGCACTGCACATAATGTACTGGTTCATGCTGCGCTTCTGATCACCCGAAAAGTGTGGTCTATGTACTGTATAATTATACTATAGGATAATTATTGCACGGTTCCGAGGGGAAATCCCCAAGGCGCGCAGCCGTAGATCACTTGAAAGTGGTACGGGTGCCAGTAGTGGTCTATACAGGATATTGCACAGTGTCCGCGAGGATTATTTTTCATAATCCCCGCGGCGCGCTGCACGCCTTGGGGATTTGAAAAAATTAAATAATCCCCTCGGCCGGAACCGTGCAATATCTATACATAATAATTTATTTATGTTAATTATTAATTTTTATTTATTATGGTCAAAACATGAACAGTCAAGTCTGATCGACAAGTGCAGCGCCGTCAGTGACTAGTGGTAGATCTACCGGTTGTGGTTCTCACCGCGGCACAGGTGGTAACGCGAACGTGCGAGCTTTTGAGTTTTGTTATCGGCACTGCCGCACAGGTACAGGGAGTCGTAAACTGAGCGCTGACCTGAACTAGCATAATGGCGGAGGGGCAATCTTCTGCCATGGCCCAATCGGGCGCGAGTATGGCTAGAGCTGCAGAGGTCCGCGAGAATTGCTTAAAGCCGGGCGAGGACGAGCGAGTGACAGTGGCCGAGCCATCCGCTGAAACGGCCAGTCCCTTTCATTCCATATTGGCTCTGGAGGTTGGCTGCGGCCGTTGCGACAAAGCACAGCCTCTGCCGCAAGTTTATCAAGGAACGTGCTTCCTACTCCGCGATCTGAACTGTGCAGCGAACAAAGAGTACATCATCTTCGCCACTGCCGCACATAATCTGGTCTGCAACGATTGCGGCGACTGGCTCTGGGTACGAATCTACAAAGATCTCTCCGCGCCTCCCCTGACCAGGGGAAAGATATCCCGCAAGAACGATTATGGTGGGTTGATCGTTCCTACCTGGTACGAGAACAACGCCAAGGATCCGGAGAAGACTAACGAGCTATTTCTACACGACTATGGGATAATAGCGGTCAAGACGAGCGAAGAATGTCCGTTGGTGAGATGGGCAGATAAAAAGCTTCTTGGCGTTGCGACCCAGTGCAAGAAGACGGAGGATGACGTCCGCATGTGCGGATATCCATCGCACACCTACTATGGTGATAAAGAAGAGACGGCCAAGAAATGCAAATACTGGGTTGACAAGCCTCGCCCTGCTGCGTTTGCAGAGCACGACCATCAGCTTCACCACTTGGTCGATTCTACCCCTGGGCAAAGTGGCTCACCCGTCTTCCTTCTGCCCAAAGAAGGCGAAGCTGAGACGGCCTCTGCTACTGGCTATGTTGTAGGGATTCACGTCGCCGGTGGTACTAAGCATAATTACGCTGTGAAGATGCGGGACGAGCATGGACACGACACAAAGCCAATGGCGGACCTCCGAGAATGGGCGAAGAATCCATCGGCATTCTTACCAGAAGAAAGCGTTGCAGTTGTTTGTTCCGAGAAATCAGGTAAGGGGCTGTCCGAGGTTACCGATTGTTTTTTTTCAAAGTGAAACGTTTTTAGTGTTTTCAGCCCCAGCACACCCACCCACTCTTCCTGCAGGTAAAAGAAAGTCGAACAAAATATTCATTTCAATATTCGACGCCCAATAGTAGCTAGTACCCGTGGACGGTTCATAAGCACATAACATGTGTGTTGCTATGGTTACATGCTTGGCAATTCGGGCTGTCCAAGTCTCCACCCTGTCACTTGCGTTTCATGGTCTGTTCTGCACTGAATGTTCTAGCATGAGTTCAGAAGCTGTTCAGGGCTGCCAGGTCATGGCAGTCTAACTGAGTCTGACGTAAACCGTATTTTCCAAGCACTCTCGGTAGGCTGCTCTAGTGCGGCTGCATTACGCATCGCTCGCTACATTCCGTAGTTAGAGCACTCTGGCGCTAGGACAACAAGCTAACTTATTAGGGAGGTTCCGGAGTACGATTTTTCGTGCCAAAATCCGTGGAGGCTCTACGGATTTTTTATACGTCGTTTTCGAGCAGTGAAAATTTCCGGGGTACGGAACTTATGTGTTTGCCGTCATTGCCTAGGTTACGATCGCAAACACGTCACATTCCCGCGCTATGCCTTTTTATTTTGAAAATTTGTACCGAAATCGAAACTTCCCGCGAAAAATCGATGTTTCTCGTACCAAATTTGTACGCGAAAAATCATTCTGCACCCGATGACGCAAAATCTCCATACGGAGCATGGTTCGTATGAAAGCCAGTCCACACGGATTCTCGTGCCGAAAAATCGTATGGAGCACGCCTGGAAAAAATCCGTAGCGCCCATACGGATTTTGGCACGGAAAATCGTACCCGGAACCTCTCTAATGTCTGTGGTGCCACCTTTTCGCCGTGGCTGGTAGCTCGGCTTACTTACAGCTCGTAGCTGGACTGATGGGGCCCTTATGGCCAAAACAGCTTGCTGTCTATAGCATTGGGTAGATGTAACGTGTGTGTGTGCGTTTGTGTACATGTGTGTGTACGTGTGTGTGTGGCGTGTGTGTGTGTGTGTGTGTATGTGTGTGTGTGGCGTGTGTGTGTGCGTGTGCGTGTGTGTGTGTGTGTGGCGTGTGTGTGTGTGCGTGTGTGGCGTGTGTGTGTGGCGTGTGTGTGTGTGTGTGTGTGTATGTGTGTGTATGTGTGTGTGTGCGCGCGTGTGGGTGTGAATAGTATTAAGGTGATAATGCAGATTTTAATGGGTGCACACAGCTTCGTACTACCGCTCAATCTATGCTGCTATGTGTGATAGTGCTGTTGATGCATGCTGTGATGTTTTGGTGCGGGATACGATCACGTCGCGGTGACCATGTCGGCCAAACAACATAGTGCATGCACGCATGGTGCTCTATGCGACTGGGCACTCTACT